AATTTAATCTCTCAAAATTTATAATTTTCGTGAAATTTAGATTTTTTTTATCATTAATGAATTTATATAAATTATTAAATTATCCTCATTAAAAATAAATGATTCACAAGTTTTGTTTAAATATTTATAATTTTTTTATTTTCGCAATAATGTAATAACAAATCATAATTTCTTATATTAAATTTTTTATTTGTTGTTGTATTATTATGAATATAAGAAAAAAATTATAAATATTTAAACAAAACTTGTTAATCATTTATTTTCAACAAGGACAATTTAATAATTTATATAAATTTATTAATGACAGTAAAGTCCCTAAAAATTTCAGAAAAATTATGATATTTTAAGAGATTAAATTGTTATTTATATATTTTAGACAAATTTTATTGTCATTTTCTCATTTTTTTTAATGTTACTCCTTCAATTTTAAATTATAAAATAATTTAACATAAAATTACACATAATTGTTGCTCGCCCTATTCCCCTATACTAACATGACAAAAGAAGAAAATTTAGTATATAAGAAATAATAAATAAATTGACTAACTTACCCAATGATATTGATAACATTTTACAGATAGTAATATTTTTATCTATTACTATTTTAATATCTATATTATTTGAAAATTATGATAAGTTTAATTTATTTAAAACAATTTTTATACATATATAACTTAAGTTTGAAACTATTAAAATAATTTATCATCAATTTATATATTAATATCAAAATATTTTGATAGAAACATTTTACCGTCTATATTATTTGAAAATTATGATAAGTTTAATTTTTTAAAAACAATTTTATTCATATTTGACTTAAGTTTAAAATTATTGGAGTGACTAATTACCAATTTATATATTAATATTAAAATGCTTTGATAGAATTGTGTTTTTAATTAAACAACTTTTTAACGTCATTTAAAATTAATCGGGTGTAATTTAACATATATTCAAAGTTTAACTGAAAGTATTATTTTTTTAAATTTGATAAGAGCAAATAGAATTCCACACACCAACAACTCTTTTTCACATCATCACCATCATCACCACAAACAAACTATTATATAATGAGTATGATAAATAAGTAAAATGACCAAGTGGCTGTAACACGGGATAATAGCAGTTTGAGCCTCTTAAGTATTATTCCAGAATTTAATTCCTAGAGTTGTATATGAAGAGCATCTTGGGAGAGGATAACTCTTTAAATAATGCACAAATTTATTGAGAGATTAGTCTCATAGCTCTAGACTGTGGAGGATACCTTAAGAAACCAACAAAAAAGTAAATTTAACTTTTATGTTTTCAGGCAAAAAAAAAAAAAAAGGAGTTAACTTTTATGAATTCAAATATATGTGTGTTATATGATTGAAATTGAAATTTTTAAACTCATAATTTTTTTCCCGCCAATCCATCTAGGATTTATTATATTTTATATATTAAATTATTTTTAAAATTGAATGTGTTGCATAATTTGGAATACTCAAAAAGGACATGTATCACAATTTGTGATAGCTAAGAAAGACATGTAACATTCACTCGTAACTTATTATCCTACTTTTATATATAAACTAGTAAAGCACTCGGTGCAATGTAGGAATAAGACAATATTCTAAAATTTAATGTAAAGCTTAAATAAATTAATTTAATTTGAAAATACATATAGATTTAAAGTTTTTATTTGCAGCGATCAAAATATAAGAAAAAGTATATTTTGAACTTTTAGAACACAAGCAAGACCCAACAACAGAAAAAGAAGAGTGAAAAAAACTGAATAAAAAAATTAAAATTTGTTTGAAGATATTAATTTGAAAATAATTTTAGAGTTAAACAAATGGTCACTGGTGATGGTTATCTATGGTTAATCATAATGGATTTGAAATGAAAATAAAAATAAATGAAAATAGTTTTGAAATGTTTATATTTTTTATTTTTAAAAATAATAAAATCTAAACACGTTTTGAATTTTTTTTATTTTGAAAAACAGAAAACAAATGTCCAAAGCCTTAGCCTATTCCCATCCCGCCTGCTTGAATTCTGATTACATGCTCTTAACACATAATTAGTAGCTACTAATCAGAGTGTGTGAACAGAGCGCCACGAGGGAGGTTGCGGTGCACAGGATGTCAGATACGATATGACAAAAAAAGCGGTTATGCGTTTCAGCAGGAGGAGTGAGGGCAGTGTATGCCATTGCGGGAGATTTTCTGTACGACTTCCTCCTCCTCCTCCTCCCTTCCCTATGCTCTCTTCATGTTATCTTTTTTCCATTGCTCTTTCTTTCTGTATTATTATTATTATTATTATTATTATTATTAGTATTTTCCACTTCCGAGCTCTTACTCAAGCCGAGTGACTCTGAAACCTTTCTTTTCAGCTCTTGCAGTAAGCGCTATTCTTGGAATAATAGATGTTTAATATTCATGTTTTCGCAGCAAATACAAGCAAGAGGAGGTTGCTATTCTCATTGTAATGGAAGCAAGTTCAATTTTGGGTCCGACAAATTCTCCACAAACTCAGGAGCAGAGCCAGAGGCATGTTTCACAAGCATTGCGGATGCCTTCCTCTCTTCTTTTGGAAGATACAAGTAACCCTTCCCTTTCTCCACAATTTCAAATAACTTATACGTCTCGTATTATTTTGTGATTGCACATAAATTTTACTTAAATTTTAATTTCTAAGTTTAAAGTTTGCGTGTTCTGGAATCTTGTAATGTATTGCTATATATACAGAAGTCTTTATTTATTTATTCACTATATTCTTTGAGTTTATATGGCAATGAACATCTATCTGCTTAGTAGTGGAAACAAAAGAGGGAAGAATATGGGATCTTATTTCTCACACAGTCACATGCTCGCCTAATTTGTTAAAGATTTTGCTAAAACGCGTCTTCTTTAAATTCTTACTGTAAATTTTAAAAATATACTTGGTTTTCCATAATAATATTAAGTACGTTAGTCTTTCAAAAGAAAAATTGTTTGTGTTCTATATTATGGGGAAAAAAATCATAGAAGTAATAAAGTGCTTTTGATTTTGGGTTAAAAATTATTTTTATTCCTATAAATAAAAGTGTACAAATAATCTTAAACTCAATATGAAATTAATTTTGTCTCTCAACTTTAAAAAATTGATCTTGCATACCCCTGACATTATTTCTCTGTTAAGTAGATCTGCATTTAAATTTTTTAATATTTTTTACTATAAAATATTTAATAGTGGGTCCTATAATTTATTTTTAACATTTTTATAATATAAAAAATATTTTTCTGTCTCCTCCCTCTCCCTCTCCCTTTTCTTTGTCTTCCTCAAGCACCGCCAAACCAGACTAAACCAGGGTGAGCAACACCAAGTTAATTTAACTCGTTTCCTTTGTTGCTGCCTTACACTGCTTCGGGAGCCAGCAACGGTGCACTTGTTGGTCCTTCCTCAGCCTCTTCGGGCCCTGCTGGTGCTTCCACTGATTACAACAATAACGAAGATAGTATTGGCGCCTCCTTGCACTAGGCAGATAGATAAACTAGCTAGCCACCTTCTATTGCTCCTACTTCTCCTACCTAAGCTTGAATCTTGCAACTATGGGTACCGGAGGCTACCTTCGTCTCCACAACTTCATCATCCCGTTCGACGAAAACTCCGACTATGACTCCTTTTGAGAGGCATCACAGATGGACATCAAGAGGAGGGGTTGATGGTGGCGGAGTTCTCTCTCTCCTCCTCTTTCATGCATGCATACATCTTCTCAAGACTCGCCCTTGCTCCTTCGTGATCTTCGCAGTGGATCATGGAGTTCGGAGTGTCGAGAAGACAGAAGCTGTTGACGGTGATGATGAGTGTCGGAACCATGGCCCCACCTAAGCTCAAACACAACCCTAAACCGCCCACACAGTGCCATACTTGTCGTCCTCGAAACTTTCTTGCTCTGGTTCTGAAGCAAGCAACTTGGGTGGTGGGGAGCGAGAGAATGTGAGGGAGGAGAAAGAGGCGAGAGAGGAGAGGGCTAATAAGGTTCGCTCGACTCTGTTAGGAGTGATGACCTCATTGGGTTCATGATGATTTGGCTGATAGATTGATAGAGACTAGAGAGGATCGAGAACTTTATTTCTAGTTTGCTTCTTCTGCTTTATTTTGCTTCAAGTGGGTTGAACACTGATGAGTCAAGCTTGAACCAAGCTTGTCTCCTCCGAACTCGTCTCCTTCGAATTCTTCTCCTTCATCTTCTAACTTGTCTCTCCCTCCCTCTCTCTCTCATGCCCAGAAACCCACGAGTCAAGCCTCTTGATATAGGGACGCCTTATGCATCCCAGGTTTAGTTGCATGGCAGGGACAAGCTTTCTACGTCCTCATGTAGATGATGTTGTTTTTGGTGATAGATGCACTCTGGTGAAGCATGGAGAGAGAGCTTGAGGGTGGTGATGGGTAGAGGACAAGCATTCTGTAGATGCACTTTGAAGAGAGAGGGGGGTCGAAGGCATAGAGAAATCTTAATGGTGGAGGGAAACTCTTATCGCCCCTTGTACATATAGAGGAATCATGGACATGGCATCGAGGACCTGCTTGCTTGAGGCACAATCAACAAACAAGAGCTCGGGTTTAGCTTAGCTGATGACGACAGTGAGAGCGTGAGCATGATGGAGGAAGTAGCTGATGATGTTGAGGACGGCGCTGGTGAAGGGAACTACGAACTGGAGCTCATATTGTGACGTTGAGAGAGTGGGGAAGAGAGGAGAGAGGGAGAGAGAGTGAGGAGGAGGAGAGAGAGGAGAGGTGGATGAGAGAGAGAGGGGCAAGGTGTAAAAAAATAATAAACAAATATGGATCAGCCCCACTAACAAATAATTAACAACAGGGGCACCGAGGAAGTAAGATTTTGAGGCTAATTAAGGATAAAATTAACCCTTAATTAAGTTTATAATCATTTTGTAAACTTTCAAATGACTCTTAACCCTTTAATTTAATATATAAGATAGATTAAATCTTTTTCCTTCCTACATCATAAAGCTAAAATGTTTAACTTTGTTTTAGGGGATGCAAGAAAGATATACCTCAAAACTTGTGTGCCCTTGATGAAGTATGCATTGAGAGGAGATTGGGAAAATGCACAGCCCTTTTTGTTGCATCAAAGGATGTTGGTAAATGCCGGCATTGCCAAAGGACACCCAACAATGTTGCATCTGGCAGCAGGAGCTAATCATTTTCATTTTGTAAAGCAACTCTTAAATTATTTGAATGAAGATGATTTAGCATTACAAGATTCTGAGGGAAACACTGCCCTTTGCTTAGCTGCTGGAGTAGGAAACATGAAGATGGTTGAGATTATGTTGCAAAAAACTCCTTCCCTGCCTGGAATTAGGAATAGAGAAGGTTTGACTCCTCTTCATATTGCGGCTATACAAGGAAAACGTCAAATGACATCATATCTATATAACAAGACTAAACAAACACTTGAAGATGTCGATCGGAGGAAGTTATTCTTCATCTGCATTCAAAATGATATCGTTGGTAAGTTTATTATCCTTAACACATGATTGTTGTGCGTTAAATTCATAATTATATTTATATTCTATCAAAATTTTGTCGTGTATCTTATTTAAATGATATTATTTAAAATTTCAATTTATTTATTTAATTTTTTAAAATATAATCATGACAATTAGAAAAAGAATATAAGGTAATATTAATTGTCTTTTTTAAAGACTATTGTGATTTTTTAAAGACTATTGGTGATGGACTCATTTTTGGTAAATGTTATGTAATATATTTTTAATATTTTAAAAAAAGCTACGAAGCTGAAAAAAATAAAATTGAATGGTAGTGTAATATGACATTTTTATTTTAATGCAAGCATGACATAATTTTCAATTTCAAGTGGACAGTTTATTTTTTAAGTCTTTGATGTTGATATCCATTTATATATCTCTATATTTCATATTATACTGATAACTTTTTTTTTTGGTATTATCAATTCTGATTCCTGACAATTTTAAAAAAATTTATAGGTATAGCATTGGATTTATTAAATAATATGGAAGGTTTAGCTCTTGCAAAAGATGAAAAGGATGAGACAGGCTTGCATGTCTTAGCTAAGAAGACTTCAAGTTTTAGTGGTAATATTTTTAAGCATTTAATATTTTTACTTTATCTACAGTGTAATGCTAATTGCAGTAGCTAAAATTTTGTAATTACCAATTTAATTTATTGACTCAATAATTGATTAAGGGAATGAACTTGGGTGCTGTATTTTTTTCTTATTCAGCTTTTGGTTTCTTTTTGTTTAATTATACATATGATTCAGGTATGAAGCAGACTAAAGCTCTTCAATTGGTTGGTAAGTTGTGGAATTTGATTCTGCATACTGTTGACTCTGGGGTAGATATACAAGAAATAATCAAAGGACCATTGTTTGGTGCTGCTGAAGTTGGAAATTTTGAGTTTTTAGTTGTGCTCTTGAAGAAGTATCCAGATTTGATTTGGGAGGTGGACAATAGAAATAGGACGATAATTCATATCGCAGTGCTATATCGACATCCAAAAATCATGAACCTCATCCATGACATTGGTCCAATCAAAGATGTCATATTGACACTTACCGATATAGAAGATGGGAATAACATATTGCATCTTGCCGCAAAAGTAACACCATCAAATAGATTTGAGTTGGTGATAGGCGCAGCATTTGAAATGATATGTGAGCTAGTATGGTTTGAGGTAGTTTGCCCTTATGTGCTTTCGGTGATTAATTTTAGATTTTCTAGCATCCTTTTCAAAAATGTGGATTCAAGCAATTTGAAATCACAAAATCTTCAATATTAGATATATGTATTTGCTTTAATTTATATCTATGCATTAATGTTTTCTAAATAACATTTTAATATGGCAGGAGGTGAAGAAGATTATGTTGCCCTTACATATTGAGAAGAGAAATTTGGAAGGCCTAACTCCTCAACAATTATTCAGTAGAGAGCATGCTAAATTACGACAACATGCAGCGGATTGGATGAAATTCACTGCAAGTTCTTGTATGCTGGTTTCATCACTCATTGCGAGTGGAATGTTCTCGATTGCATTCGGCATAACAGAGTATGCAAGTAATCCAACAAGTCTTACATTTGCAATATCTAATGCTCTTGCATTGGTCTCAAGTTTAATATCATTTGTGGCTTTTCTGTCTGTCCTCACTTCAAGATATGAGGAACATGATTTTCACAAATCTCTACCTAGAAAGCTGATGACTGGATTGCTGACTCTTTGCTTAGCCATATCATTCATGATGTTGGCATATTGCAGTGGCTTTTACATTACATACTTCGACGGCAAAAGGTGGATTTTTACTACCTTATGTTCTGTGGTATTGGTACCCATAATCATGTTTGGATGCCTAAAAGTCGAACTTCTTTATAGTATCATGCATTCGACATTTCTTGTGAGGCGTCTTTTAGTTCGACCCGGCAAACATAACCTTTATTAGACAAGCTGGGAACATTTATTGTATGCTTATGTGAACTCTTGACCAATTTAGTTTATATGGATCTTTACCTCTTCATTGTGAAAAAGATGGTTGAATTATGATCGAGTACTACATTGCTGAAGCTGTATATGAGAATCAAAAAGAAATGTTTCAAACATATTCCAGCACATTAACTTATTTCTAAATTTGTGTTTGTGATATTTGGTTGCAATAGGTGGGTGAGTGATCCATTGGAGCACAGTTGATAGTACAGTCATGCATGAAAAAATTCAAATGTGCAAATAGTCAAAGCATTGAGTTATATATGTGTGTGTTAAAACATAAGGTTCTTCCGATGATAATGGGTGCTTTCATACTGGGTCTGAGACAAAAATACCCATTTCATGAATATGTATCTGCATGTTTTCAAAGTTCATCCTTAAACTACAGAAATTTAAAAAGAATAAAAAGGGCTCCCAAAAGGTGATCCATCTGGGAGGATGAAACTGGTTAAATGTTTATGGGACTAACCAATGTCTTACGTGCTTGCTAAAGCTAAGTTCTTTGTGTTCTTTGTCTCTGGTTCGTCCTGTTCCAACAAAGCCATGCTCTTTGGTCATCCTCCTCTTTTTCAGCCTTTTGGTCATCCTCTTCTTCATCCTCCTCTTTTTATTGTTTCTTTTCCAGGTTCAAACACATTGGACAACAATCATGGCATCAGTCAGGGTGCTCGTTCTTACTTTGCCTCTTGATCCTATTTGTTTATGCAGCAATTAGTCGAATAGCAAAAATTGTTATAATCCAAAGGCCAGTCCCGTAACTGATCTAAACAAAATGATCAGCCCTAACAAATTAATATCAAACACTGAATGGACAAACATAAGACTGCCAAATAAAACGCTACAATACCTCGATCCTCGGAGATTTTGGAGAAGAAGGGAGGCATAATTCGTGTGGCTTGGCCGACTTCCTCTGGTTTTCCGTCGCCCCTACCTCTTCTTGCTTCAACCACGACCCATCAGAGACCTCATTTTTTCTGTGCAAATTTGGGTTTTTTTTTTTTAATATTTGCACCCTCATTACAAATTACAACAAACTTGGCTGCACTTTTTATAATTCGCGGGTAAGGCGTATACTTAATTTTCCCTATCTTGTTATTTTACCTTAAATACATAAATAAATATTTAGTTGACCATTAATATTAGATATGGCTAAACTAATATCTAACCATCTGAAATCTTAAATTCTAACTTAATTGTTTTGGATAATTAATATTATCTTTTATTTAGTTGAGATTCTATTTCTAATACTGAATAACACATCATATGTTTTGAAAATATTAAATAAGTTTGATTGGGAATAGTTATTATAAAACTCATATTTGAGTTCTATAAATATAATATCATGTTAGGTTGCCTATAGACTTTGAGTGCACAATTTTTTTCTAGAGTATTTCAAAATGTTTAACAGAGTATTTTGATCATGTGTGACATTGTGGTTTACACAAAAGAGATATGATTAAAATAGCGAGCACAGGATAATAACTTTTTTTTTTTGAAAATTTGGAATGTCAAAATGTTTAATAGATTTGTGTATTTTGATCATGTGTGACATTCTGGTTTACACAAGAGAGATATGATTAAAATAGTGAACATAGGATAATAACATTTTTCTGAAAAATTTGAAGCTTTAACAACCAACTTTAAAAACTTATATCTATTTAATGTAAAATATGTTTTGAATGAAATAAATGTTTTTGGAAAGCTTTGCAAGTATATTTTAGAATGAAAGAAGTTTCATATTAAACAGATTTGTATATTAATAGATATAGAGAAAATAGAGATTAACGATTAAAATCAAATATCTTTCAAAACTCTTAAGCTTCAAGTGTAAATTCCAAGTGATAACAACATAACTAAATTCATATTAAAACTTTTCATTACCCAAGATAAATTCAAGAAGGAATTGGAGGGAAACCAAGTACTTATGCTAATAATAAATTTAAAGAAACTTAGAACTTTGGATAAGATAATAAAGATTAAGCATATAGATCATTTACCCTTAATTACCACTAAACACTAATTAAAATCTTTACAAAAATAAAATATTTTTTATTTTGTAATCATCAAAATTAAAGTTGAATATAAATTAGTGAATTAAAATTGTTTGGATTTAAAGAATGACCAAGTGATTTATTTTGCCGGTTGGAGTTTAATGTGAAAATCATATTTTTATGAATGGTTTTGTACAACCTACCTAATGATTGTTAGATACATTCAGGAAACCTCATATCCCCTCTTGCATAATTGATGATGGATGACTAAAATGTCTGTGGTGCCTAGGTCCTTAGTTGTAATTTAAATATTATGCAAATTGACTAAAATGCACAGGTTAAAAATCAAAAAACCACGCTACCATATTCCTATTGAATCCCACATCCAACCTCCGTGGCCTTTGATTTCCTCTCAAAATTCTATAAATCACCAAAAACCCAATCAACCATGCTAGCTTTGGATGACCAAAAGGAAGATTTAGTGCTTCGTACGGCGATGCCATGAAGGCCTACATTGGATCAAAACCATCCCAGGGTTGGTTGAGTCATTGTGCCGATCATTCTGCATGTTATCTTATAAGAAATAAGGCTGAAGGACAATGAGTGTATGACGAATTTGTTGCTGAAGTTCTCATTGCTAGTAGGAGTCAACCATGATGATCGAATATGCAATGGGTTTTTGATTTTTTTTTTGAATATAAGGCCACGGGAAACCTGTGTAAGAGACTAACATCTTGTCATATCTATAGCCATGAGGCTATTACATTCGGGGGGTGGGTTATCAAAAATATAGATATCAAAGTTATGATAAGGCATCATATGAGCAAGAAGATCAACACATTTGTTGGCTTCCCTATACATATAGTTAAAAGTGACCACCCAGTTTCTCATAATAAGGTACCTAATATTTTTTATAATCACAGAGAGAGGGTGATTATCATAGTAGATATTATTGATGAGTAATAAAGCCTCTAAAGAATCAGAGTGGATGTTGATCTTAGAAAGATTCCTATTCTAACAAAGTTTAAGGCCTTCCAGAATTTAGAGTTCAGCTGTAGTGCTTGGATAGTATCCAAGGTTTTTGACAAATCCTTTAATCCAATTTCCTTTATCATCTTTAATGATGCCCCTACAGGCAGCAGTGCTATTAGTATTGACTGAGCCATCGATGTCAAGTCTAACCCAACTGGGTTCAGAAGGGCTCCATTTAGCTTCATGTCTATTGCCTTTCTTGTTCAAGTAGTTGACCTTAGATTGAAGCTTAAGATCGTTGATAATTTGTTGAGCATAGGAGAAGGCAATATCGCTTTCGAGAATATTATCTTCAAAATAAATCTTCTTGCATTTAGCTTTCCATATATTCCAACATGCTTGAGCAAAAAGTATCTTCCAAGGAATTTTCCTTGCAGTCAAATTGCCTGCCTCGTTCTTGGCATTCTAAATTATCCAATCATACACATTAAGAGATGAAAAAGTATTAAGTGTTATAGGATTTACTAACTTTTTTCATACCTCTTTAGCTTCCTTGCAATCATGCAAAATATGGATGGAAAAGTCAATGGAGTTACAACCCATGGGGCAGGATCGTGGTTGTGGAATATTGCCATTTGTGTACATATAGTTAGTTTGAAGATGGTCCCATGCAGCTTTCCAGAGATAATATTTAATATTTTCATAGGTGGGCCATTTCTATATCTTAGACTAAATATCAGAGTGATTTAATCTTTTCTGGAATCAATAGTTGTGTAAGCAAATTTAATAGAGAAGTTGCCATTAGAGGAGGGCCTCGAAACAAGAACATCTTCCTAAATTTGATGGTTAGGAAGTTGCACAACAGCTATTAGTCTAATGATATCAAAATGGAGGTAGTGTTTTAAAAGATCAAAATTCCAACTACATGTGGTATTGTGAAAATTTGAGACTTTAGCATGAAAAATGGAGTTGGCATTATGGAAAGCATAATTAATGAGAAGGTTAAGGAGAGGGGACCATTTATCATACTAGAACAATATTTGGTCGCCTCTACCCACTTTTAAACTAACATAAGTCATAAACTTATCCCAGAATTTACAAATGCTATTCCATATGTAAGAACAAGAACTAGGTTTAATAACCATAGGTATAGTGGGTTTATTGCATTTATATTTATCTCGCAATACACGCACCCATAGACAATTTGATTTAGTGGTGAGACCCTAGCAAAGCTTCATAATGTAAGCAATGTTGTGATTCTTGAGATTTTTGATGCCAAGACCTCCATCTTTTTTATTAGAAGTAATGCAATCCTAAGATAGAAGATGAGGTTTTTTGTTCCTATATGGTGAATCCCAAAGAAAAGTTTTAGCTATTTTTTCTAGATCGAGCAAGACATTGTCCAGTAAAAGCATAGTTTGCATAGTATAGGTAGGAAGAGTAGAGAGAGATTTAATGAGCACAGATTTTCCTACAATATTAAGATAACAACTTCTCCAGTTAGCTAAGCGTGAGTTCGTTTTATCAATAAGGGGAGCAAAAGTGAGTTTAGAAGCCTTTTCATAGATAAGAGGAATTCCAAGGTATTTCCTTAGATTTCTAGTAATAAGGATTCCTAACTCTTCACTGATCTAAAAAGTTTTGTTGATATTGACATTCTTGAAATAAAAGAGTTTAGATTTTTCAGTATTAATTTTTTAACCTAAGGTGCTGCAAAAATTGGAAAGGCATTATTGGATAATCATTGCTTGGGATAAAGATAGTTATGTAAAAAGCAAAAAATAATTAGCAAAAAATAAATGAGATATAAAGGGCCATTAGGAATTAGCTTAATTGATTTTCATTCATTATTATCAATAATACTGAGAATGCAATGACTTAAACGTTCAATATAAAGAACAAAGATATAAGAAAAGAGAGGATCCCCTTGATAAATGCCTCTGGAGGGTTTGAATTCTTTAGTGGGTTTATCATTCCAGAGAACTTTCATTTTTATAGTTGAGATGGCAACACAAATTAGTTTTCTAAGATGAAGATCTATCCCAACAACTTGGAATGTATCATCAATGACATCCTAGGACATTCTATCAAAAGCCTTCTCAAGGTCAATCTTCAGGGCCATTAATCTTTTTTTGCCTGTTCTATCTCTCATAGAGTGAATGATCTCTTGCACAATTATGATATTATCACTACTTTGCCTACCTTGAATGAAGCTACATTAATTATCATTAATAAGATAAG